TGTGTGTGTGTGTGTGTGTGTGTGTGTGTGTGTGCGTGCTTGCACACGGCTATACATGGATAAAGAAAGACAAGCAAAGCAAAGTGTCACTCTTCAACATAGCATGAGGCTTTTGATAGTATAATAATTGTACTATTATTTTGTCGGAGAGATACCTTGTGAGCATGTGGATATCCTGGTCTCCACGGTGTTGAAACAATAAGCCTGTATCTACAATGATTCGGGAATCGTTGTTTGTTTGTTTGTTTGTTTTTTGTGGGGGAGTTCTTGTCTTCCTTTTTTATTGTAGGTGTTTTATGCTCCCAGCCCAATGACACAGTTTCGGTAGTTTTAGAGGCGGGCTTCGAACCTGTCTGTCAGACCAACCCGGGCTGAGAAGGATGTACAATATATTGTGTCACCTGAAAGTACCGGTGGGTGGTTGGCGGGTGCTCCAATGTGGTTTGCTTCTTCTTTCCTGTCTAACATCTATCGTCTTTATCTCCCCTTCTTCTTTTTTATGTTTGTTACTCTCCTGTAACGGCTTTAATCTTCTGGCGCTCATATGACCTTATGCAGTTGCGAGCGCCGTAAAACCTCTACTAAAACTTCAAAAAAGAAAGTACCGAAATTCTCCATAAAATTTCTCCGCACTCGGGAGTCTAGCTAAAATCTTCTGCTGTGTGCGACGACGAAGCACCTCTTCATTACAATTCAGACGCCTGTGGAAACATTGTGAGGGACAAAAATGTGTATTTGATGTAAGATAGTAGAAATGTAAGACGTTGGACTTTGTGTAGAACTGTAAGACGTTGGACTTTGACCCCCCCCCCTCCCTCAGCACGCTCTTCATACAGTTGTTCTTATGTCTTAAAGTTTTGATTTTTTTATTAGGAAAAAAAAAATACAGATGTGTAGATTTGCCGGATAAATTCTGAAATCCGGATATCTGAAATTATCCGTATTTTGTCCGACCTTTGCATGTCATATTACGAGTCTTGATACAAGGTGACTTTGACAATATGATCCGTAACTTCCACGAGGTCCGAAAAATTCCGGATTTTATTATTATTATTTTGTTTTATTTTATTTAACTGTAGCAAGTTGGCAGCTCTGTTTTTAATACGCATTTCTTTTTTCTCCTCCTTTTCCAGCCACAACAATGAGGTCACTACCTTCAGCCCCCCGTCAGCTCTGAGGCCGTCAAATCTGGACATTGGTCAGCCTGGATCGCCTTTCTCCTCCAGGTGAGAGCAGGAATGGACGCCGCACAGGTCGTTAGGTCGTAGTTAAGTCATTGGTGTACCCAAAGGTGGACTCTTTCTTGGTGTGTCTTGCCGCGTCGCTCAAACAGTGTGGTTGTTCTCTCTCCTCCCCCTCCCCCAATGAAAGAATTAATGAATAATTAAATAAATAAATTATAGTAAAAGGAAGAAATTAATGGGGAAAAAAACCCATTTATGAATATAAAAAGAGGAAAAAAGGAAAAAAGATGAAAGAAAGGAAGGAAAAGAAAGCACAAAAAATGTTGTTCAAATAATATAAATGGCAAGGAAGAAGGAAGAAAAGAAAGAAAGAAAGAAAGAAAGAAAGAAAGAAAGAAAAAAAGAAAGAAAGAAAGAAAGAAAGAAAGAAAGAAGAAAGAAAGAAAGAAAGAAAGAAAGAAAGAAAGAAAGAAAGAAAGAGCAACAATGACTGGAAGGAAGATAATATAAAGAAAGGAAAGACAATGTAAATTGGTAGTAATTTAAGTGCATTTCATTATACCCCCGCTATGGAAGCATGGACCAGGTTTCGCCCCGGTGCTTCTCCATAAGAGAGGCGCGGTGTTTCTATCTGTAGACACGGGTGCCCCAAAAACAAAGGTTGTGTGTTGGTCTAGGCTTTCTGAGTATCTCAAAGCCTCGGTGTTGGTCAATGTAAGAACAGACATTGCCCCAACAAAAGTATAGGGGATTTTTTTT